CTTCGACCGCCGCTCTTTCCGAATTTCACCAGCTTTTCAGCCGATGTCTTTTTCGCATGTTGGAGTTTTATTGCATTTGATCTTTCAACTGGACCGGCAATTTTTCGAACCATGCCCGCGGGAATTTGATGCTCGTTTAATTCATATGCATGGCCCCGTGATGACGTGCTCACGCTGACCAGCTGCCGTCCTGCTGCCTTGCCGCGCTGCCGCAGCAACCTGTGACGACCCTGTGTGACTGTACATCTCTATATCCTTACGTCATGAGCAGCACAGCGACACCTCTACATAACGACACCCAAACTCTCTTACATCAGACTACTGTGGCACTTTCGCAGGTCCAGAACTTGCTCCGACAAGCAACGGACATCGTCGCACACCTTCATACCCACTTTCTCCACCACATCCACCAAGCGGATCCCACTTTCCGCCAACATTTTCAGCCACTACCAACTCCGCCAACTCACGTTAGGCGCCTTGAGCTCTGATGCAATGGCGAAAAGTGCTTGATCGTTCCGCCCGATCTACAATATGTCATAGTACCTTTTTGCGAAGGCCAGCCGATAGCCTAGGCGATGGGTTCTCCACAGCACTCTTTGCTCGATGTTAGGCAGTCACATGATCTCTGCAGCAGACTTCCATCGATCCGCTCTTGGCGGCACGCCGACTTTATGAGGCCATCTACAAGACAAGACAAACAAACAGCAGGCAAGCGCCCCTCAGTTACTTAGGGGTGCCCTTTTTATAGCTTGAAAACGTCCTTTGAGCAAAAAGAAAAGGGGCACCCCACCCGCCCACCTGTGAATGAGAGCTTTTCATATCGGCCCTTACTGCGACTTCCCACCTTTGCCTTCTATTTCCCATGCCCGACAGCGGTTCCAGTGCGCTCTCGAATTCACAACCCATAACCAGATTCGGCACTTGTGTTTTCGTAGACTTTGTGGTTATTGTGGCTTTTGGAGGCTTTTGTGGCTTTCGGGGGTTGTAAAGACAACCGACTATCAATCTCGGAGTCTCCAATGTGCTGCAAATAAAGTGCTGCAAATAATGTGCCGCACAAATATTGTAAGCAACGCCAAATTTGAAGCCACAATCCTAGCAAAAAAATCCCGCTATGATGTACAAGAGAGTTGTTGCGTTTGATCCTTTGATCCATGAACGGAAAACCTCATGCCCTGAGGGCTACGTCGCCCGGCTTGCCTCTCGTTTTGGGCGGAATGACGGAAGGCATGAGGCTGCAGCAGAAACACGCATGCCGGCTGCGTGGTGACAAATTTGTCAATCTGAAATTCTGAAAGTGGTCGCTGTTTAGTAGACAAAACATGCTAATCAAGAGGATCTATAGAATAAGGCGTTATGAACACATTTCAACCATCCCATTTTCGATTCCTTCCTTGAATGTCCCTTGAACAATGGAAATTCCAGTTGCGTGGACCGGGGCAAAGCGATGAATCTTCCTTGGCTAGGATTTTTTTCCCCAATAGCCATGCGATGGGGTCTTGCAAAACTAATAGGCGGACAGGCGCCGTCGGGTCACCGTCAGAGCTGGTGGGCGGATGGTGTCCTGGTCATTTTTTGATGGTGTCCCGGTCATGTTGTGACGGTGTCCCGGTCATGATGTGACGTCCTGGTCATGTTTTGATGGTGACCCGGTCATGTTTTGATGGTGTCCCGGTCATGTTTTGATGGTGTCCCGGTCGTGTTGCGACAGTGTCCCGGTCATGTTGTGACGGTGTCTCGCTTATGTTGTGACGGTGTCCCGGTCTTTTTTTGATGGTGTCCCGTTCATGTTGTGATGGGGTCCCCGTCATGTCATGTTGGTGTCCCGGTCATCTTGTGATGGTGTCCCAGTCATGTTGTGACGGTGTCCCGGTCATGTGTTGATGGCGCCCGGGTCATGTTGTGATGGTGTCCCGGTTATATAATATATATATATATACATAGATTATTCCTAGGTGAAGGCTCCCTCAAAGCCATTTCGATCATACCAGGGCTAGCTCAGGGTAGAGGTCTCCCTACTAAATCCAGTCTTTGGGCCAACTCACATGCACATTGCACAGGTTGGCATCAGCGTGGAGCCGGAGGTGCTGCTGGAGCCGACTCTTCCAAGTCATGGAAGTGTGGGGCACCCACACATCTGCCGGCGTCCTTGTGTCTACTTCAGGACGCTTGCGTCCCGGCGTCAGGTATTTGAACCGAAGAATCCCAACTGGCGACTAGTCCCGCAACTATCCCCCATTTGTGATTCTTAGCTGCTGTGCATCCAGTCTTGTGAATGTTTCCGGAATTCAGCCATGTTGTGGCACCTGTGGCGTGAGACTGGACCTCTAGAAGTTTCTGAGTTGCATGACCAACAGGCAGAGATCAGAAAGTCTGAAGAAGTAACAATCATGATTTATTCTGAAGTACATGAACTGATCCCGCACATTGGCTCTCCCAGGTGTACTCTAAATCGTGCAGCCATAGGAACTTTCCCCACATTTGTGTCACATGCACAGGACAGGCGATTGTAAACATGGCAGTTCCTGCGGCTTTTGCCACCTAGAACATTCTGAGCGGCTCCCCAAGCTAGACAAGAACCAAAGAGGGCTCATGAAGTGCTTGAGCGAGACCCAGGTGGGACTTCATGGATTCAACTCTTGTGTGGGTGGGAAATGACAAACTAGATAGAGACATATGTAGACTATAGAAGTGTTCTTCGAGATTCAAGGTTTTTGCAAAGTCAGCTGCATATTCAGTAAGGGCGCTTATAGTGCCTCATGCAGCGGCTGAAGAATACTGAAGTTCTGCATTTCCTTGCTCCCTGACGATGACTCATTAGTGATCATGATGGACCATTTTTCAACTTCGGATCTTCCGTTGACTTGTCCCAGTTCATTCCAGTTCAATATGCTGAGAATGGTTGAACCCAAGGGGCCAAGCCGCTGAACCCATCCAATGCAGGTTCTTGCAATGATGGCTCGCTATCTTCGATTGATTGCTGCCAAGCAGAGCTTTGAGCTCCAAGCCACAGAGGTGATTGAGCTTGTTGAGCACGAGCTGGCATTGCAGCAGGACACTGAGGGGATTTCAGCTTGCATCGGCTTGGGCTGCGGGGTCAACACTTTGATACCGTTTTCTGTGAGCTTAGCGCTGTTGACACATGGCCATGGGGTTGATGAAGTATGGTTCGTTTTGCGACATTGGTGTGACATGGATGACTGTTCGGGATGCTTGGAGAATCTTGTAGATTTTCTTTCTTGCTTTCTGCGAGCCATTGTTTGCCAGGACCAGGGGCCAGGCTTAGAGGAAATTCCTGAGCAGACAAAAAGAAAGCTGCACAAGACCTTGTCTCGCATGTACTTTGCGGGTATAGTCGGGCTAGCATCACGTGAGCAGGTCAGGCCTGAATTTCGGCAGGAGCTTGCTGATGCCTTGGAGAGGTTGCGTGTAGCTGCGCCCCAAAGTGTACAGTCAAAGGATTGAGACCAGATCTTTTCCCGGGACAGCCATATTCGGATTGCATCGTATCTGTATCTATATTTCACGATTGCAGTGTTATTTCAGGTGCCACATGAGAAAGGATGATAAATGTACCTGTGCCATCGAACGTGTCAATCTGGCAATAAAATGTGATAATTAGTAGTAATAATCATTTCAGCATTTAAATTCAGGTCACACTGAACAGATTATCGATGGCTTGCTCCCAGAATGCATGACACAAGCACACTTTCTCCAAGAGCACAGCTAGTTGGCTAGCTTGTGCTTCGCATTTTGCCGGACAGCTGGTGAGCCCGATGGCAACAGACATGTCATCGCCGTACTTGCTTAGGCATGCGGAACCGAGTTCAGTGCTCGACATGTTCAGTGCTCGAGACGCATGCTGCGCCATCAGTTGGCATCTCCCCATGTTTTGACGCTTTCGACCAATCGACACCCTTGAAGTCCTTCCCACACTACAATTATTCAGTTTAAGATTCATCGTGAACAGATTCAAGCTGCACTAGCATGTATTTGCAAGTTAGCAGACAGGAAGTGACGAGTAACGTGTCTCGATTGGCGGAGGATCCCAATCCCAGCCGAAGCTCTCTGGGACTCTGGGATATCTCATCATTGTATGTGTATGCTTAAGACCGAAGCTATGTGTCCACACCGTTGGTATCTACTACCACGAGTGTATATTGGGACACAGGTGTTGGCTTGAATTTAATGCATGCAATTTGTGCGGAGCAGAATCCGCGGGGAAGCCGGGGGGGACGGGGCTGGGGCCTTGGCTGTCCCTTCTCACCATCCTCCTTCCTGGCCCCCATGAAGACTGCTCTTTGCTTTCTTTCGACGCTTTCTGGTTCGAAACTCTGAACTTGTGTCTGAGCTCGCTGGTCTTTTGATTATACCTTGGGTCATGGGTCCCTTCCTTTTCATGATTTTCAAGAGCATGCCCAGCAGAAATGAGCAGACACAGCATTGAGACTTTCTTGCCAATGCAGGAGTGCTTGTTCAGATTGTGCTTCATTTGGCGACGAACCTGCTAACTGCTGCTAAGCCAAAGACCTTGCCACAAACGTCTTGCGGTGAGTCCGAAAAGCAGCAGTGCGTGTGGGGAGAGCTATTTCATTGTCGGCTTCGGATAGCTGCGGTGGGGATACCGGTCCGAAAGATTTGTATCCAAGTGATAGCCATCCATATGTATGCTCAACGAGTTGAATGGCTGGCAACAGAATTGTTCCTCCGAACTCTAAGCAGACAAACAGCCACATACAGAATACTTTGAGAAAGTATCTGGCACTCTTTCTGCCAGACAAGGATGATTCATTTGTGGGTAGCACAAACACCTCCCGATGACAGAGGCTATTATTAGGTTGAACATGGCAACATGGTTGAACTGTCTGTATCACAGAGTGTGATTCACACTTGCTGCTCCCCACGGAAAGTACGGTACCGTGGTTGTTTCCCCTGTTTTCCTTGTCCTGTGCTGAGTTGGCGATCGCGTGCGGCAGCCTTGCTTCCGTCAATCTTTGCAGGCAATTCAGCAACAAAAAAGCAGAGCACGGGGTTCATCAGCCAAGCGAGATCGCTTGGAAGAGCAGATGGAAGGATTGCAAGAGGCGCAGTTGTATGAAGCAAGTTGATGTACTGTCCAACTGTGGTTCTCCGCTTCTCAACCACACAAGTGTCACAAGACCATGAGTAGCTGAGCTTGCTTTTTTTTCAATTGAATCATTGTAGTGGCGGCAAGCTCAGAAAGGGAGCGGCAACATGATGGTCATGCTGGTAATCCCTCTATATATTTGGAATGACTTTCTTGGAGATCAACGGTGTGAAGGTACTTTCTCAACACCTTTTGTGCCAGGAATACAGGTCGACTGAGCTTGAAGAGCTGGCGGCCTACAAGCAGCGCCACAGCATGTTGGAGGAGTTCCAGGCGCAAAGCCTTTGGAACAGAAAGGCAAACAAGAATAACGCACTCCGTGGATTGGATTGATGACACAATGGCCAAATTGTCGGAATGTAGTTTCATGGCTTCAACATACATGGAAATCCTCGACACTGTTCTAGAACTCCATCACTGGCTAGTTGGTTTGTTTGCTTGGTAGAACACATTTGTACACTGAGCGCATCGCGTCACAGCATGCTAGGACCGGTAATTCAGTCTCGGGTTGGACACGTACTAAGCCACAACAGGAAATAAGGACGCAGACGCTTCGATTGTTGGGAGCCCAGGTCCGAACAGCTAAAGTCATCAAAAAATAACATTGGGATGTCTCAAACTCAACATTTTCATTTTTGAGGCAAGAGGTATACACAGATTCAAGACAACATATGTGAGTTTGTTGGATCTCTCAGATGTGAAGAACTTGGCAGTGCGAACCAATTGGCAGAGATGGCCTTGGAGGAGTTGCACTTGTTCCGAAGTTTGTTCGTGTCGAAGGCTTGTCTCATGCAATGTTTGAAAAAGAAAGCGGAAGCAGCGTTTCACTGGTGTCCATGTTTTTCTCAATCCCAGATGCACAAAACCGCAGCACTTCCATGAATTTTTGGAGCCTGGCAGAGTCAGCGAAGGGACATCTGCGAGGACCTAACGAAAGCCACGAATAATCGGCCTCTGGCAGACCAACACAAGTGACCCGCGGCACGTCACCGCCACTGATTCAAGGTCGCACACTGTTTAACAGGCGCTGGGCGGGCTGGAGCCGCCCCAACCATTGTTGCCACTCATTTATGGCTGCCGCGCTGCAGAGGACCCAAGCTCCTCCAGTCAATACACCATACTTGGCAAAAGGCGGTCGGCAGTGTCCTCTCTAGCACACCCCAGAAATTGAAAGGCTGCCCATCGTTTGCCAGCCCCATCTGGTATGGCCTACTTTGGATATACCATGACATACCTAGCTTGCCAGTCTTTAATTGAAGCGAAATCAACAGCTCGTGCCAGCTGACGAAACGTTCACTTGCCTCCGGCTCAGAAATCACTTGCAACCATGCTACGAGGTCAACCCTGCATTTCGAACATGGGGGTGCGTTCCATCTCAAAAATGTAGCTAGGCCCTGCAGGTGTGTTGCCCCCCCCTTATAAGAACCCCTTCATGCACCACAGGTATGGAAGCAGTCTGAGAGTGACCTGCAGTGACAAACTGTTCTGCGACCCGCACAAAACATGTCCATGCACTTCATGGATCAGACGTCGGCAGGCCGCCTCTTCCGGGGCCCTCGAGCACCCACTGTTCCGGCTCAGGCAAAGAAGCAAAGGGCACATGACTCGTAACCTTCACTATGCGAACCCTACCCCTGACGTTGTGTGCTAGTTTCTTTCTACAATCTTCAATGAAGGAATAGAACACAAAACCAACAAAGATTAATTCAATGTGTGTCTATCCGTCTCTTATCTGGTTATTACTGCAATAACTTGCAACCACAGGTCAACATCACTGGAATCATTGCTACGGTCCCACCTACCCTGCAAGATTTTTGATTTGCGTGGAGGCCCCAAAGGCTTCGCTGGGGTGGGCTGCAGCGACCGCCCAGCTCGCTAGCGGATGCAACAGCTGTGTTGGATGTCCTAGGGCTCCGTCTGGAAGAGATCTATACCAACTCGTTCATGCCAAACGCCCGCCTGCACCGCAAAAAAACGGTTGTGTTTGGGAGTTGATCAAGGGCATGCCAAAACACGTGTAACAAAGGGGGGCGTCATTTCCCAACCGCGCCAACATTCCCTGGAGAGCTGGTTGCATGAACCTTGCGTACCTGATACCAGAGCCGGTCACCATCTGCGAAATGAGGATTGGCACAAACAAATGTCCCACTCAACACAACACGAAGGAAACCTTGCTGCAATGATCACTTGTCTTGGTCTGCTTGTGCGATCCAGGCACTGACTTCCTCTAGGCCAGATAAATCGGTACGGTGACACACATGAACTACTGCGTGGGCCTGCCAATCTTCTTGTACCAAAATGGGGAGTGCCCGCAGCGGAAATTCAAACGCGGAAACATGCAGACCTATTGCACAAACGAACTCCATGAAAACCATGTCTCAGCTCCCGACGTTCTGCACCTCGGGTGTGACTTAAGCATGAATGACTTCTCTAAAGTAGCCTTTACATTGGGGGACCGCATCCAAGAAAAGGTCAGGTGTGACGAAGGCATGACATTGTCTTTTTATATGAGCGTGTGTGATTCTGAAATGTTGAGCCTAGCTCAAAATTGGCACAAGGCTTGAGGTTCGGGAAATCGGGCCGAGGAGCCACTAAAGCGAAGTCGGGAAGCGCTTCGAGAGCTGGAAGATGTGAAGCACTTCTTTGCAAGGCCTTGAACAAAATATCAAACTGGAGGCTTTCACATGATGAAGGGGTTGTTTTCTGTGCAAGCACAGGGCAAAGTCCAATAGCTGGCATCTCACTGGCCATTGTTTTTGACTCTCACCCTTCAACTGACCAAGACACGCTTGGACAGATTTTCATGGTCAATGAGGGGAGGAGGCCATGTATTGCCGTGAAAATTCATGCAGAGGTTGATGTAGCTTATAGACATCTTATTGTAAGGTGTTTCGCTTGACCAAGATTAATATGTGATGGAAAGGTTTTCGTAGCACAGATGCACCCAGCGAAGCCTGCCATCCTTCATCAATTAAACCCCTCAAACAACCACCCGGTGGTGCCTTATCTTGGCGAGGCCTAGCTTGGAGCAACCGGGCACCCCGACCTTCGGGGAGACCTGTGACAGACTTGGTCCAGGAGAGGCCAGGTGACGGTTGACCGTGATCTTTCTTGTCTTGAAGCTGTTTTATTTGAGCGCTGTGGGACATAGAGAGTTCCACCGAGTTCTACCCAGATTCTACAGCGCCCTTTGTCACCCTCTGTAAGTTTGATCCACATATTTTTGGCGTTCCCAACGCTACTACATACCGTTATCGTAACTGCAATCACGGGTAACCGCAGTGACAAGCAAGGAGATTGTCAAGGTCTAGAGGTGTTTCTAGGTTGGAGGCCATCGCTATTAGGTTGGAGGCTTGAGGTGGCTTACGGCATTTTGCGAGTTTTGTGCTCCAGGCACGGGGGGATCGTCTACTTGGTCTACTTCATCCAAACCGCATCAATCGTGTTCGCCTGCCTGACACTCAATCGACTCAAACGACTCGAACCAGCAAATTTCGTAAGAAACACATGAATAAAGAGCAGAGCCTTTTCAAAGGGACCCTATTTTCAAACTGCACCTACCTTCTTTTGTTCATCTCTTTGTGCAGGGACTTTGCAAAAACACCTTTACAAACAACATCTAATTATATCTAATTATAAGAAACACATGTAGCAAATCATCAGCCGGGGGCAAAGTCCATCATTTCATTGGCGGCTGGGTTTGTATGCTTCTTGGTCGGCCCATACCTACCACGGCCTTAAAGCTAGCCGCAGGGAGAATATGCCTGATGAAGCTGTTTGCATCACAGCATATACTTCTTCTGACCTTTTCTAATTCATTTCCTCCCTGCCTCCTTGAGGCCAGTTCCATCCACACCAGCGCCTGCAGCTAGGGAAAAGTTCTTTGGGCTTGCCAAAGCAAATCTAAGAGCCGCTGACAAGCAGTTTGGTGGTTGTGCGAGGATTTTTTGGATGTATGCTGCGAGGTCTTGATGGATTTCACTTGGCAAGTCAGTGGTCTGGAGACATGTTCAATGCTGTGGTCCTACATTCATTTTCTGTTGTTTAAAGTTTACGCTATTTGTGTCGGGAGCTGATTGGCTCAATGAGACGTATACCATGCATTTTGGTAAGCCGGCAGCAGAACTGTATTGTCAGACAGTCAGTGTGACTTTGAAGGATAGATAGGACCAGGGTGGAACCTCGCATGAATAGCTTCTGAAATTGGCTAAAGCAGGCACCACTGTACCACTGGATTGTTATTGCATCTCTAGAGGCTTCAGCCAAAGTGCTGAAGCGCACATCTTGGAGGAGAGCTTGGCAGATTTCACTGTAGTAGGCATTTGCACATTGTCTCCTGTCTCACCCTCTGGTCAAACTTCGGCCTTGGTGCCAGGAATGGAGGACTTGTCTCACGAGCAGACCTTCAACCAGGCCCATCGGGTCCGTCGGGTGAGCACACTCCCCAAGCATGAGGCCCCTCGGCCCCTGGCTATCAATGCCTGAGGAGCACTAGCCTTCTGAACTGGTTCACAGAACACCGCCAATTTGTTTTGGAAGAGCATGGTATACATTCGAGCCATAGGTCACAATGATTTGGGACGGTGGCCGCGACCCAAGAAAGAGGACTTATTTAAGCTGAAGACGTGAATAAAACACCGGGCTAGAACTACGAGTGCTATGAAAATTCCGTGTGGTATACGTCTACGTGGCATTTGGGCTATGTCTGCAGGGGCAGTGGGGAGAGCGGGTTGCTGCGTGGATCAGTGGAGTGGGGCTACTGACGTTCGTTGTGGATGCTACGGCAACGACATTGCTGCGTGGATCATTGCTGTGGGAGGCCGTGGGGGGTGAGAGAGTGACTACCACGTACGACTGGTGATGGTGCAAAGCCGCAAAGCAGTGTCTTTATCGCAGTAAGCTGTGACTCCCTTGAGCTTTGAAGAATACGATAGACGACAGTCACACACCGTGGGCTATAAAGTGTGCCATTGGCGTCTTCGACGCAGAAGCCACCTACATTTCAGGGGGTGGGGTGGGGTGGGGATAATGACGTCTGTTGTGGATGCTATGGCAACGACACGTGAATATGACAATGTGCATCATGCTGCCTGCACCTGCAGCAGCTGCGTTTTCGTGACAACATGTAACGTGTCTACTTCAAGGCTTCCAAGCATGTGCAATTTGCCCGGCTCATTAACCACGTGTCCACCTTGTTTAAGCAGGGGATATGGTGCAACATTTTTCGATCCTCGAAAGGGTTTCCATTCCAGCCATGTCGAGTCAACTTGTTGAGGTTGGAGTGTCTCGCCATCACAGCCAGTGAACATGAGCGTGGCGGATGCTTGGAAAACATTTGGATACACGAGGCCGACAACGGACCACAAGCGCTATCAAGTGCTTGGACTGAAACATTGAAGTTCGCTCAAGACATTGACATACATATTGCATATGTTATATATATTTATATGTCATGTATTATTACCAATTACGTTTGGCTAGCCACTGTTTGCGCGAGTCAGTGCACGCATGAACATATTCCATGTCGTTCGCAGTGAAATGCCTTAACATGTCAATATAAATCCAAACCTGATTTTCAAGAACAATGGACAGTGAAACAACAAAAACAGGGAAAATGTTTACCGGCTACTGTACCGCTTGTAAGACCTGCACGTGTGAACTGAATTGGCAAGCGCACCCGGCGCACCCATAGAAATTCCTGTTGCCCTGCCTGCCATTCAGGGAGGTCAGGAAGGCAGCCAACAAAGTCCAGCAACACCATCCAAGTGCCTCAAGCGCATGCGCAGAATGGGACGTTGCACGACTTGCAAGTTCTATAGAAACAGATCAAATCCTGATGATGATATGTTGGCGTGGACAAGCCAGTTGGAATGGAATTGACACTGCCAAAACAGATCCATTCTATTCAACCCTTTCTATTGCTTCTGCCAAAGGACCTAGGAAGACAATCGACGTAATCAGCTCGGACTTACCCTCCCATTCCATGTCCGGCGAATTATGAACACCCAGAACCTCAGCTTTGTCATACAAAGTCGATGGTTTTCCAGTACATCCAGTACCAAGGACATCCTTGGGAACCAAGTCTTGCAGACCAAGCTCTACGAGGCCGCACTGGTGGCCAGCTCCAAGATGGAGGATCTCAGGCGAAACGCCGTGGTGTGGCGCTGTTTGACTAGTTGAAGGGTGCCTTAAAAGCACTATCGAACATATTCAAACATCATGATTCATGATCGGACAATATATATATATAGGATATTATAGAATTATATAGAGATTCTCCAACATTCTCCCAATACACCCTGCAAGTTCCCTACTGTAAGTAGGAGACTAGCACTATGTCTGACAAATTAAAGTGGCATGTTCCGTAAAAATCCACCTGCAGTCCCCTGTGGCTCCAGTTTATCATGCATACCTGATACTTTAAGACTTTCTCTGATGAAAACATATACGGCCAAACGGAAATAACCTGGGTTATTGCCCCGCCTGAAAGTTTTGTTATCCTGAAAGATGTGGGCAACGTGCAGCAACATCAGTTGGACGTCAGGTGGTGATTTTGATTTACTCGTAGCAAGGACTTGTGCTTGAACAGACGTCCTTTGGTTAACACAAAAATAGACAGATGACATCCCATGTCCATGTTAGGGGAAATTTCTGGATGAGATACCGTGACTGCCGTCAACCCATTTTGTCCGAGGTAGGTCGTACCTGTCTGACTGAGTTGGGTTCCTGTCAGTCCTACCTTTTACGCTGGTCTTGTGACAAGATTGGTGCTGAGATGATGGGCATCCAATTTGTTTGCCACCGCATCAACCTTTTAATCCTTGTAAGCTTGCTCAGAAGCTCGAGAAGGATGTTCTTTCTCTAAGAAAATCGTTGGCCAGGGCCTCGTTGGGTGCTGCGAATGATGCTTTGCTGACCAGCTCCACGATGGAGCTGCTTGATTGCACAAGGGGAATGCTTTTGGTCCCATGCACCTAGTGTGGTGAAGGACACGCAAAGAGCAGAAGCAACAATGACGAGCGAACCTGTCAAAGCTGGGCGCTGGATATTTTTTTCAAAAGCTGGTTCCCGAAATACCAATGTCATTCGCCCAGCTTTTCGACTTAGGGACATAGGGAATGGTTGCCGACAGCAGTCTGCACGGCAGGTCCAGCATCGGGATAAGCCCCAGCTGGGCTGCCTTGGCAGCAGAGATCTGGGTGGAACCACCCTCGGAGCGAAGAGCGAGACTCCGGTTTAAGGCGGATCCGGGGGGAAGAAATACCAACCCTCCAAAGGCAGCAATTTTGGAATTTTGGAACACACACACATGAACACACCAAACTCCACCACATATACATTAACATTAGGCATGACATGAACAGCTGCCTCCAAGGGATTGAAGATAGAGGCAACTCCACATAGTAGCGCAACGCGGCCAGATCCTTATCCGCCAGGGCAAGCCTTTGAAGAACCTTCAACCTTGTTGAAAGAGGAACCGGAGTAGCCTGAGCCAACAAACAACAGTCATCAATCCAGGTCCTGGTGACCGAATCCAGCACCGGAAGTTCCTCACCTGTGGAGGCCTTCCAACCAGTGTAAAGCTCAAGAAACTGAACATCCGGAGAAACACACCGATGCGACCAACCTAAAATATTTTGTATAAACAACCACAGGAAGGCCAAAAGTTATGTGATAGAGCAAGAAAGGTCTGGTCGAGGCTAAGGGCAGCTGAGCTGTTCTGCCAAAGCGCTCTCACATGCCTGCTGAGAAGAGTGAGGAAGCAATGCCATGGGCATTCACAACCGCCAACAAAAAGCCTTGATAGGTCACCAAGTCTTTTTAGGCCTCTGAAAAGCTGATAGACGGTTCAATTTGGCAAATCCAGCTGCAGCATCCGCAGCTGCGTTGCCAACCACTCACCACTGTTCAAAAGGGCCCGGAATCCAATCTGAAGGCATGTGGCTCCAATTTTTTTGGAGACCAAAGTTGGTAAAGCTGTAATCAGGTTGATCTTCATGATCGATCGTCATAGGTCCGGCCAGGCCGAAATGACCCACTTCAAAGAGTGGAAAGAAGATGGAAGAAGTGCTGTGAGCTCTGCACGTGTGGGCTGACAAAGGCCCACAGCCACCCACTGGTCACCGTGCACAGGTTCCATCCACGACAACATGAGAACCCTGCACGCCCATGGTCAATTCTGTAACTCCCACCCGTACGCAATTCGAGTAGAAAGTCGTGGGCACAAGTCATGATATTTCATACTAGCTGGAAGCTGTCGCCATCTGCGCATGAATCGATCTCTTTCAGCCCGCAAAGATACATGGTGTGGACACTCTTCCAGGGGGGCGCAAGCCGTCCCGGGTCCTAATGGGACTTGGAATATTAAGTGCAGAACTTGCCATCTTGGCAAGCCTTCATCGACCCAATCCGGGACACGTCAGTTATTGAAGGAGCAAATTCATACGCTTCCACCCTCTCAGAGTCCGGCCTATGAGCAACCTCTGAAGCCTCACAAGTCCACCAATCATCTCGGAAGACCAAACCCATTTCCTGACCAGAAGACGATGCTAGTGAAAAGCGGAGGCCAAACTGTGCGGTGACCCACGGATCTTGTCATCGACATTCTACCCAAGAAAGCTTACCCTCGAATTGGCCATGAAACCTCTTCGAAACCGCATCCTCCTAATCATATGCCTCAGATCCAGCAATACAGCTTTCCACTTTAAAAGTCGGATCCAAATCTGGTTGATGCACAAAACCAAGGCACAAGATCGGAAAGGTGTTCTGTTTGACATGTGGATTTGACTCTGCCGAACAAATAGGGACCTGGAGGACTACAAAACTTTCAATGCAGCTTTGACAAAGACTATATATACTATAACTATTGCTTGTTAAAGCGAATGGCATGGTATAGGATCATACAGGCTAGGTCAACTCTGACATGACTGAGATGGAAGACTAGTAGATGGACACCGAGTAAATGGAAGCCTTGGGATTGGGATGTGTGGCAGGGAAGCTGCTTCCTCGATGGCAAGCCCCCTTCCACAAAAGGTGACAAGCGTGCAGCTTAGAGAGATTGGGACCGGAGGTGACTTGGAGACTCTCTAGTGCTATGGCTTCCAACCTAGAAGCAATGGCCTCCAACCTAATAGCGATGACCTCCAACCTACTAGCTGCTAGTAACTAGCAATGGCCCAATAGTGATGGCCTCCAACATTCACATCGGTTTCCAAGTGCTAATGAGCTCGGCGCAAAGATGGCGCTGAACACTTTGCATTCACAGCACCTTGCGTGGCAAAGAATGAGCGCATCATGCAAGATTTTGCTGTTTCAGAATGCGTTGATGCGTATGAAGCAAGTTTCTTGAACACCATGTCAGTTTCAAAAACTATGCCAGTTTCAGTTTGCTCCTTTCCTTGCTGTGTAACTGGCGCTCGAAACGTCTCATCCAAGCTTCTTGGCTTTGCCTCTTGTTGCTCAAGTTGAGTTGTACATAGGCGGAGCCGCTGCTCCGCACGTGGCCGCGCTGGCCGCGCATGGCGCATGGAATGTACTGTCGATTTTGAATTGGCAATGCATGACGCTAGTTGTTCACCTCAGTCTTACAGCAGCATGAAGCAACTCCTAGTATCATGAAGCTACCAGCAACAAGTGCATCGCTACTACTAACAAGGGCAGTACTAGTAGTAGCTTCTTGATGTTCCAAGCGTTTAAACAAGAAGTATTGAATCAGCACGGACACGAGCTGTAGGAGGAAGACCTCAGGCGGGGATGCTGTGTTCATGATGAATCCTATATCGTAATGTATACGCCCAAGAATCATGAACGACTATATAAAACATATATATATACACATACATATTCTGTACATTCATAAACTGCAGTTAAGAGACTGTTCAAGGCTCTATTTCCCGATGTATTTCAAGGCTCCCAGGCACTAGATGTCAGTGTGGGGCCTGTTGGGGCTTGGTCGTCAGGATCACCGGGAAGACGATGTCTGAGATCAGCGAGGAGGGAGCCATCCGTTGACACTATGATTTTGGCCCAAGCTTCCCACAGAGTCAGGGAGAACTACATAAGTGACCATATCTGGAACAACCCACACACTCACTGTTGGAATAGATGAATATCGTCACCCTGCATCGCCTCTGTTCAATTATAGCTTGTCTCAGGACAGAGCTGCAGGCTGGACTTCTCCAGATCGGGAGGCCTCGTATGCTATGCATTTGACTCTGCAAGTCGAGAGTCAAGAATGTTTTCTTTACTTTACTTCTCCTTGGCAGACCCCACCGGTCTTGAACTTCACAACGCGTTTGTTTCTACCAATAGGAGTGCTTCTTTGCATCGCTTAAAGAGCCAAGTGCAAGGGTGAGGAGCCCTGCTGGCTGGAGCCCATGGCGCCATGGTGTGCCCAGGAGGTGCAGCTCAAAGCATTCTTTTCTCAGACCTTTGACACCTGGTTACGCTTTGCTAATGTGTCCAGCCGCAGAGGTATTGGCTTGCATCAACCGGTTTTTGCATTTTGAGAATGTGTCGCTCAGAAACAGCTTTCGGATCTTAGAAAGACTAGACTAGTGACTATAGTTTGAAGTAACAATCCCAAGGTCCCCAAAGGTCAAGATTATTCACATCTATCCTCCTTTGCATCACATCATCTCTTACTCTCTCATTATTTGCAGGACCAAACACCGCAGCTGCCCTTTTGGACGATTGAAGATGAGACTCCTGACCACGTGGACCGAGCGGGCCTGTTCATTGAGGGCTCGCAGATTGACAGCGAATCCGGTGTGGCCTTTAGGCGTGCGCTAATGAACTTTACAAGACGCCACCAAGCAATCGACTGACTTCAATCCTTTTCCTCAGAGATAGCCTCTCATTTTTCGAAGAAATCTTTCTTTGGAAGCATGCTGCTCTAAAACTTTCAGATTGATTCAAAACCTACATACTAGTATTAAGAGAATCTTACAGCCACAGACTGGGAGTGGACAAAGCATTTATTTGTTCATTTTGTTTTCGTTTTTATCATCATTTTTTTTCATGCCCATTTGTGTCTTTTTTCATGTACATGTGTGTTTTCGTTTGCATCATCTTTTTCTTTTACACGCCCACCTGTGTTTGTTCATGCGTGATTGCGTTTATCGTTTGCGTCCCCTGAAGCGAAGGCTGCCAAGTCACTTACTCCTGAACCCTCTGGGCGCTCTTTGCTACCCTAGTCGGCTAGTCACTTCCTTCTAATTCTATTTAGCCTTAGCTGTTGTGAAATGTAGTTAAACTGTCGTTCACGCGTTGCCGAAACTATCTGAACTTAAAACAACATGAACACTAACACATTAAATTAACATATATACATGAATTAAACAACAATGTTGCCAATTTGTGGCCGACACTAGCCAAAACGATCATGAAAGACAAAAGAATGCTGGAGCTCAATTGCAATTGCCCCCCCTGAAGGAAAGGCGGCCAAGTGAGCTAGTCCTGAACCCTCTTTGCTGGTGGGTCACACATTTCCTTCTGTTTTGCTTTAGCTTTTATGAAAGGGACTTGACTATTGTTGATTTGTGGCGGAAACTAGCCAAAACGAAAAAAAACAACTCGAGGAAAATCACATGTTTCGAATTTTAATCTGTTTTAAAGACATTTTTTTTTTCGTTTTTCATGTGCTTTTTCGTTGCTTTGTGGCCGAAACTAGCCAAAACGAAAAACACATGGAAAAAAGGAAAAACCGCGAGGAACATTGCAATTTTTCAGCGAACAAACCCTTTTTTTTTGAACATTCTTTTTTCGTGTTGCATTTGCTTTTCATTTTTTGTTTTTTGTATTTTTTTCGTGTGGCATTTTGGTTTTCATTTGGTTCATCTTTTTTTTCATTTGTCATTTTGGTTTTCATTTGGGTCATGACAGTTTAAATTATTGTTTCTGACAAGTTCATGTGTGATTATAGTTTTCATTCAGGGCTGTCTCTTCACTAACCTGTTTTACTTCCCATCCCTGTATGACAAATTTCTAGGCCACTAAGCCACTAGGCTCAGGCTTTTGGGGCCCAGTGGTTTAGCTCAGCAGCTTGCAAGTTGCATTCCACGATTTTGATCCTTGGTTTCGATTGCTCGGGAAGGGATGGGTGAGGGAATCCCTTCACGCATCTATATATAGTTTGGGGCGCTGACTGTGACCGAAGTGATTTTGGAAGCCCATGGGAAGTGACAGTAAAGGCAACCAGTTTTGGAAGGATGAACATGACGCAAAAAAAATGATAACCCCAAAAGAAATGAAAATAAAACAAACATATTTTGTAAAAATAATGATGATCTAAGTGAAGATCTAAATGAAAAAATAGACAAAATCAACTTTCCACTGCCTGGCTGGCAAAGATGGACTTAATACTAGTACAGTACTAGTACTAGGTCCCTAGAATTTATAGAAAGGCAGTCTTTGACTGCCCTGGTGATGCTTTTGTAAAACTCTCAGGCAGGAGCTGATCTGCAGCGTTTTGCTAAATTGGTGACACCGCAATTGGACCCTCCTCCTTGCTGCCACTATAGTAATGTAATTGGGTGGGCCCACAATTGCAACATATTAACAACTAAGTATCGTTGCCTCATGGATAGCAGAAATTGGTGAATGGTTCATGTGCATTGCATGATAGCATGGAGTTTGCGGCAATTTGCGAGGACACCATCCTGGAGTTCCACGTCTTTCCATGTGGCGATTTCCAGCGTGGTTTTTGTGCAAAGCACGGGGCCCGTGGCAAGGCGCCAGCGGCGCGGAAACGGTTATTAGATATATATATATATGTTATTTTTTTGTTCTAGACCTGAGGCAGTATGTGATGTAAGTAATAATTGCAGAATGTTATATGTATATACACACAGTGTTCCTTCCTTCAAGTGCGGGAAATGCGGCCAGACCTGTGCCCTGAGATCTATCAAAGCATTTTGATTAGTCGGATGCGATGGATGGCGGAAAACTCCACCGCATGAAGAGTGGAAATACCATAGATCAGATAGCGGTTTTTGTTGCCTTCAAACAGCAGACCAGATTCAGATCATAACAATAGATTCCACGATGCAATCTTCAGAAGCACAGACTGCCAAAACCAATGTCGAAACATGTGTAGATTATTGTAGATTGGATCTGTGGACATGCACTTTCTTCACGGAGGCCCACCAGTGTCGAAACTATCATTTTGAGTCCGGGGACTTGGCAGACCGCAAGAACAGAACGACCGAAATGCTGGCGCTTTTGGCCTGACACAAAGCTCCACACCGGAGAGCACCGATTCCTTGGAGCAGTGCTCAAACTGCTGTAGTGGGGCTGCCGATCAGTCTGGCAGAACAGGCAGAGCCAAGTTTCCAAGGGTGGTTGGTGCGACCTTCAAGACACCCGGACCCAGATTGAAGCAGTGATTAGAAGGATTCAAGCATATCGTGAGATTTCATGAGAGAGCACTGCACCTCTGCATTCCTCCAAATTACTGAGATCACAGCGTCGGCGCAGAGCAATTGACCCCATCACAGGACAATTGTCGAGAGCTCAGATGCGCAATACAGCCCCCGTTGGGGCTTGCAGCGTCCCACGACAGGCCTTTCTGCTCCCTTTCAAGTGTCTTTTCCCTTTTGCCTTGCTTAATCTAGCTTATTTTTGACTACTTTTGACCACATAAATGTTATCTCTTGTCATCATGTCGATTCCAATGGATGCTTTGGGTTTTATTTGATGCTCAGGACCTATTGGGACACTCCGTGCCCATCGTGGAGTCTAGAGATGGGGTGTCAGGAACCCTTGAGCAGCGCCAGGTGACGGCAGAGCTCGGGACATTCAAGCTACATGATATGCCATTTTGATTCAGAGGGCTACAAAGGCTTCCGCACAGCATACTTCAGAGTTCATGGCTAGTTGAGGCAATATTTCCACACTCGCAGTACTATGTTCTGCCAACTACTTTCCTGGCTTGCACCTGCAAGCTTAGGTTCCTTGGCTGGTGATTCTTGCCCCTTAGCACATGGTCGTGAAGAGGTGGGTATGGGCGTGGTAGTTGGGAAGCTTGAACATCTGGCAAACCGAGGTGTCCTTT